GGGTCTGGTTATAGAGAAAATGGAGTGAATTCAGAGACAAGCAATTCAATGATATAAGAATTAATATGCAAACCATGAGGGAAGCTTGGCAAAAAACTAAGTACATTTATGGTTGGAGAAAAGAAGATTTAGCATTATAATTTTCAAGTATTTGAAAAAGTACCTAAAGAAAAGGGCAAGATTTTTTCGCCTTTGCTGTGGACAGCAGGATACAGGCAAAGGCTTTAAACTGCAGCAAAGCAGATTTAGATCAAATCTCAGGGAAAAAAAAAACAACTTAGAAACAATGGAAAAAGCTGCCTAGGAAAGTTGTGAAACCTCCTTTTTCAACAGTTTTCAAAAGGAGACTAGAGCACAATTACCTGGGATGGTTTAGAACAAGTGCATCTGTGCAGAAGATTGGATTAGGTGATTGAGGTTCTTTCCACCCTTTTGATTCTAATCTCAGGTCTCCAGTTTAATATTAATAGGTGAGAACTTTTTCAGTACTTGGATGAAAAATCTCCGTAAAGCATCAGTGATACCATGACATTAATTCTATTAGGAAAATGTTTTATTGTGCCAGTAAAAATCCATTCTTTGCCCAACTTAACCTGGTCCACACAGGACCAAACCATATCTAAGAACATTGCTAGAGGTTACTGCGCTGCTGCAGAGACAGGATTAGTTTTGTATGAATTCTAAAACAGAGACCCTAAATGCTTGAGGTCATTTTAAGTGCCACAAGATCTTTCAGAACAAGGGTGGCCAGCCTGCAGCATGTGTGCCACAAATGGCACAGAGAGCCTGTGACACATGGCAGACAGGGGAGGGAGCAAGGAACACTGTGGCAGATAGAGGCAGGGAGCAGAAACCAGAGCAGCAGGTCTGGCAGGGAACAGAAAGCAAAGAAGCATTTCATATAGAGGAAGGGGACCAGAGTGGCACTCAGGGAGGGTGCAGGGCTTATATTGTGGCATGCCTGCCTAGAAGTTTGATCCTTACTGTTTTAGAGCGTGACCTTAGGTACCCCAAATTGACCTGGATACAGGCAAATGCATTCTCTCCAGCAATTTCAGGCAAATATAAAATTCTATGCTTCTTATCTTCAGTCTGCTTTATGCAAAGTTAAACATTACTTATTCATTCAAAATTAATATTCTTACCTTTTTTGATATTGATGATTTCACTTTCTTAAAAGCTTCTTCGAAGTGTTTTTGTCCAATCTTGATTTCTCCTTAGAAAAAGCACACAGTACAATAACTTAACGACTAGAAATTACTCATATACAATACCACTACACACATGGACTAATACCATTTTCTAAATAAATTCCAAGACAACATTAATGAAAATATTAAGATAATGAATTTCACTAACTGCACAGTCTATTATCCTCAGTGAGTCAATGGTTTCATGAACTTTGAATTTCCATGGTGTATCTAATGCAAGCTATATGAACCTGAGCAACTCCTTTGTCCCTCTCTGCATCAGTTATAGGGCATCTAAATTATGACAATACATATATTTTAATAGGACTGTTTTAGATACAGCATTGATACCCAAGGCCTTGACCAACTGTAGCATACATTGAATTCAACTAGAATTTAGAGTGCTCAACACTTGAAAGTAAGGCTTAAAATGACTCACTAAAATTAAACAGAAGTTTGTCTGTGATAAAACTAGACAATTATGGCTTCCTGGTTTCTAAGCTTGTGCTTTAACAAGACTGTACACAGACAAGGTGTTCTAGTATAAAGGGACTGCACCCTTTACACAGGCTGGCTTATACCAGCATCTTATCAGTACTTTCTGGTGCTCAAAGGATCAGGTGATTGGTTGCCCCCATTATCACTGATCCAACCTTGTATAATCTGTAGACATAACAGGCCAGCCCTTTACCCATATCTCTATCCAAAAACCCCCATGTTAATAAATCAGTCTTAATGACCCTCCACTACCACCTTTGAGAGAGGCCTTCGTTAACCTGCTGCTGGCCACAAGAATTTCATTCTAAAAGAAAAAGTGGGTATTTTCTTGCGCTCTCATGCAAATGTCTTGACGTATACATATAATTAACATCCTCCAAAATCAAGTTGCTACACAGAATTAGTACAATAACTATCACGAATACAGGTACAGTACAGTTTTATTGGACATACTGAATTAGCTGATTATGTTACTTTAAGGAACTTTTCAGCACCTGTTCGGTACTGCATTTCATCAAGATATGTCCAGCTTCACAAGAATGCCCTACCACTGTCTTTAGTAAATATACACCGAGAGGCCTTGTGTATCTCTATCCAAAAAAACCCCACATTAACAAATCAGTGCAGTCAATTCAGGATTTCTCTGTGCAAAAGGATGGAAAAAATCTGTCACTACTAATCAGGATTTGGACCTAACTGTACTAAAGGTCAATAAAAACTGTAAAAAGAAAGAGGAAAAAGGTGGCAGTCTCTCCTTGCTTCATAACGTCCAAGTATTTCCTTGTTCTTTTCTACAAAATTCATATATACATACAAAGTCTGATGTCCTTCTTCCTCCTCTTGTTCATTTTAAGTTAACCAGGACAATTGCATTATTCAAATAAGAAGAAATCAAACAAAGGCTAGATCTTACTTTTAAGGCTCACCATTGTAGCATAAGCGAACAAATTCAGCAGCCTCAGTACTTATGGGAGAACAGCTACAGCACACGTTCCTTCTCACAAGCCATGAGTTAGGTGGGATGTTATTCTGCCTTTCTTGTTAAGTGTGTGCGAGTATTTCATTTTGTGTTGGCTCTTAGGTCGGGGCACGAAGAATACATCTGAAAATAGTTTGACACACCTGCTCTACACCAATGATGGTGGATGCCAGGAAGAGAAATAAACGGGATGGATCACTCTAGATACACCCTTTTCAATGCTATCCCTCTAAAACATCTGCTCCTGCCACTGTTGAAGACAGGCTACGGGGCTAGACAGATTACTGATCTGACCCAGTAGGGCACTTATGTTCTTCAAATGGGTAAACATGGCTTTAAAACCACAAGACCTGGTATAGGGACTTCAGGTGCAGTACTTCAGACAACTTGCTGATGAAACAATAGATTTCAAGTTTGTGGGATCCCTTAGTGACAGCTCTTCATTTGCATTTCTGAAAAATCAGAAATTTCAGTGGGTAGAATTTGCATGGGACTGATTCACGCTTCCCCTGCACCCCATCACCAAAGACCTTAATGACTGCTGAGCACATTGTGGGATTGGATTTTGCACACGGGGATCTTAACACACTGTGCTTCCTCCCCATATACACGCAGGAAAAAAAAAATCTGTCCCCTGGGAGAAGTATAATCATCAGGATTTTCTTGATCCCAGAAAGGACACTCAGCTTGTTCAAACTTAACACTTCCTGATCCAAATATATAAAATTATATACATTCAATAATTTGCTTAACATGTGGTAACAGCACAGGAGTTTACCTCCAAAATGCATAATTACTTTTAGGTAGACAAGGTTCCTTGGGTGAATCTGATATCTTTTATTAGACCAACCCAAATAGTTGGAGAATAGTTATTAAGCAAGCTTTCGGGTTCAAAAACCCTTTGTCAGGCTAAGGCAGTTTCAGCAGTTGGTGTGTGCTTTTCCTAGATGGAATGAAAAGTAAAGAAGCCAGGGGCTGGGCTGGTATGCATACAAGATAGGTATGTCCTTAGACCAACACGGCTACAACCTACACCCCTAATTACTTTTACACTTTCTAGTCCTATCCATGCAGAATTAAATCCATTCCAGTGCACCTGTTGTATTCATCACTCTCTCCTAGAGATGCCGCCTCCCAAAGGGTCTTACATATTGTCAACACATATTAACAACTGTTGTCCTCTTAGTAAATTCCAACAGTTTAAGCAGCCTAACTTCAGAATTATCTTGAACTACTTTATAAACTTTCCCAACTTACTCATCTTCCCTTGGTTGCATTTCAACTTTTAAAAAAAGATCAACTTACCTTTCCTGCTTTTGCTCTTCTGCAAGGCCATTTCTCGTCTCAAGGCACAAAGAGAAGCTTCACGCACTAGAGCAGAAAGATCTGCCCCGCTAGAGATAGATATGGAAAGAAGGAGCTAGTTTAGGTCAGACGTCAACCAGCTGTCTGTGTCCAATGACACACACAAAAAGGCAGGAGAGTATTAAAAGATGGAATGATAATAGAACAATTGGTCAACAGCATTTATATCTGCAAAAAGAGAATGAACTTCCTTACTTATAAAAAAAAAAAAAAAAAGAATTACTGATGATCAGAGCAAGTACAAGGATTTAAAGATTTACTTCTCTCAGAATAATTTACACAAATTGGGATGGGGTGCAGAGAATGGTTAGAGAGTTTGGTACAAAAGTAACACGTTTTTCAAACAACAGTTGGATTAGATTCATTCAAAGGATGCTGTGATATCATGTGAAAGATTATAGAGTGAAGTGCATTTGATCCCGAGTAAAGCTTCTGTTGTAAGAGACACAAGAGAAGGGAATAAATGGCTTATTGACTCTTTGCTGAAATGCTGCACCCACAAGATCTCTCTAAAGCATCTGGATTAGCCATTTCTGATGCTAAATGGGGCTTTAAATTTACACTGCAGACATTCCCTGTCCACAGTTATTCCCATGTTATTTTGTCTACTCCCCAGGCCCCAGTTCCTTTTACTTTTTTCCCCCGTTGCTACCAGTTTATTTTGAGGGATTTTTGCTCATCAGTTTGCTCTTTCCAGACATCATTCCTGCCTTCTCACCCTCTTTCCAGTTGAGCTTGGCAGGGACTGCCCATCACAAATCAAGCCAGTACTTGCTATGCATTATTTCTTCCTACCTCAGAGCTAATAAGTAATTTTTTTGCAGGGCTACCTATTGTCATGGATAAAAAAGGGGAGAGACCTGACAGACTGACTGAGAGTGAGCAAATCTAGTCATGCCTCCTCACACACAGGTTGAAAAATCCTGATTTTACACTTAACACACTGCTACCCACAAGTAAGTGATCAGGCCTATCTAGCAACGGTGGCAAACAATCAACTTTTTTTTTTTTTTAAGTTTTAAAACAAATTATTCACAAATCCAAAGATGGTTACATGCCACCAAATTGAAACATCCATTCTTTGCTTAACCTTGTCCAAGCGAGTCTTCAGATAATGTTATACCCTAACATGAAATACTAGCACCCTCCTCATTTGAGCAGAGGCAGGAAAGAAAGCATCTGTGAATGTGAGTGCTGCCCTTCAATCTTGCAGGTGGAAGCTGGGACAGACAGTGCAAACTTCATGTTCTGCAAATTCCATTTTGGATTAGAGCTGTAAATGTGACTTTTACTGGGCAGTGTAACCTCTATTTTGAGTTAAGACAGGCAAGAAGGGCTGAAAACTAGTCCAATCCTGACATGGTCAGTCTATTCTGGGCATTGTGTGGCCATGTTAGATGGGGAGAAATGTATTAGAGAGACGAGGGACTCCTACACCCATGCATGGAGCCAGCTTTGATGCACTCTGGCAGCCTCGTGTGTCATGTGTATCAGTGTCGCCATGTTTCTCCATGCTGACAAAATGGCAGTGGCATGCTTTGAAATAAAACACATCTGATGAGCTTTAGTTCAAAGTGCCCTGCTGCCATTTTTTCAGCATGGAGACAAGCAGTGATTCTGATACACGTGACGTGTGGAACCTTTTAAGTAGCGCGACTTACTAGGAATGCCCTCCCTGCCGCTGCTTTGTGGTCCTGAGCAGCCCTATCATGCTGATGCCTTGCCTGTGTTGTTGCCCCTTACTCCCAAGCCACACCCCCTCCAGAGCCCCTTACTCCCAATGCAGTCTCTTGCCCCCCCGGGTGCCCCTCACTCCCAAGCTGCAGCCTCCGCCCCTCTGGTGTCCCTCGCTCTCAACCTGCAGCCCCACTTCCCTGCTGGTGCCCCTCACTCCTGACCCACAGTCCCCCACCCCCCTGGGTCATGCTGGTGCCCCTCACTCCCAACCCACAGCCCTCTACCCCCCTCAGCCTTGCTGGTGTTCCTCACTTTGGACCTGCAGCCCCCTGCCGCCAGCCAGAGGGGGCTCCCAGCTGCCTCCGTCTAGCCATGCACAGACTACAGGATGGTGGTCTGGGGGAACCCAGTGGAGACAGCCTGCATGCAAAGCACCTCATGTAGAAGCACGAGCAGTGGCTGAGGCATCACATGCTGCCCTGTGCCGCCAGCTGAGGCTGGGGCTGGGGCTGCAGTGCAATGGAGAGGACCAACACTGTGCTCCACAGCAGCAGTGTGAAGTGGAGCATGGCTCTGGCCCAGGCCATTCTGTGGGCAATGGGAGGAGTATGAGAGGAGGAGCACTGTGCCAGGTGGCCTGGCACCCCCCAGCGCGTCTTGGCTGCTGTGCCCCTGAGAGCACAAGAATCAACTCTGGCACCACTGACCTGGCCATACAGCTCCCTGGAGCCCCCAAAGGACCCCCTCCATCCCCTTCCCCTGCTAGAAGGGCAGATGCCTGCAGGCAGGCCCCACTGGCAGCAGCACAGAACTGGGACCACTGGTAACACCTAGCACTATCTTAGACCTCTCTACCCAAAGGTGCCTGGACACCTTCCCCACCTCCACACCCCCTTGTCACCCGCATGTCCCACCCCCAGCACTCTGGACAATCCCCAAGCCATGGCCCTCCATTCCTCTTTTCCCCACCACCGACTTACCTTTATCCAGCTGCCAGAGCTACTACCACCACCCTGCCTGGCTGTAGGCTGGCCACATTCATGTGCATGCGCGCACACACACATGGCACCCCCTGATGCCAATCACCCTCCCTCTGCTCCTCCCAGCCCCAAGCAGATACTTGAAGGCTGGAAGGCTGCCAGCCTGTAAGGGGAAACCTGCAATTTCCCACGATTTTTCTCCTTTAAAAGGGGAAAGCCAATTTTTTCTGCAGCAAACAGAAAACCTGGATCCCTGCTGATTTCAGCAGTGGGTAATAGAGAGGAAAAGAGGAGGGGGAGGAGCAGGGGCACCACCTGATAAGCACCACTGGCCATGTCAGGTTTGACCTAGAAACCACTACACATAGCCCAAGCAAAAGTCTCTGTTCTGTAACTAATGCCCAACTGCAATGATAAGGAGAAGACAGTCTTAGATAAAGGAGGCTTGAAAACAAAAACAGAATTAGTGGACTAGGGCAAAGAACTGATTTAAATATTAAGATTCACACCCCTAGGTGGGGAGAAAGTATGCTAATGAAACATACATGTATGGAAATGAGATACATAGCTAAAACACAGGTATAGAGACATGCTCAGTAAAGAACTCCTTGCGTCACTCCCTTATAACCAATTAGCAAACAAGAATGCTTATGAAGGTCCAATACTCCTGTATAAAAGATGCTTAGAATTGAGAATCTGTGTGCTTGTTACGTGAAATTATTCCGCTTGCACCTTGTATTGCTAGCAATAAATCTTTATACTTTCACCCCTGGTATCTTTATTGGCTTTTGCATACCGGGCACGATCCCAGACTTGAGCTGGGGCTCAACAGCCAGATGACACCTCTGCAGGCTGGATCTGGCCTGCAGGCCATATTTGATAGTGATGCTCTAGTGCTTTCAAGAGTAAAAGTATCTGTGGTTAAACTCCTCTGCTGAGCCTATGTTTCTTGTTTGACTACCGTGATCTATCCAAAAGGTTTTAATAGATGTCAGAGCTACCCCAGCTAAGAGGGCATGTATAAACAGCTGGAGCACTGGAGTTCACATTTTAGGCTCCCACTGCCAAAACAGGACATCAAGTACTCTCCCAAGGTATCTGCACCTGGGAACCCAGCAGATTCAGAGCTGCAATACAGTTATCATCAGTCACTACCCAGACCAAGAGGGCCCAAAAGCATATGGACCCAGGCCAGAGTTGCATTTACAACACAGTGGTGTGTGCCCAGACAGGGGAACCTGGGTCAAGTTGTAACAACCACAAGCATTCTCTTTTTATAACAACACAGCACACCAGCTGAAAGACTATTTTTGCTAGGAGGAGCATAAATCATAGTTTAAGAAATTGCAAATTTCTTAAACTATGATTTAAATAGCTGCTTACTAATTATCTTTCTTGCTTTACTATATAAACCAGTTTTATTGCACAAGTAAGACATGTCAAGAGCACATAGTGTTTTAAGGAAGAAGCTTATTGCCATTAGTGATAGTAAAACCCTAATAAACAATCTAATTGTTCAATGCTTTTATGGAGTTGTACGCATCTAGAAATTTGCAAATGACTAACAACTGGTTGCCATCTCATGGAATTTACCTCAGATAGTGTATACTTAAGAATTTGCATGACAGTGAAGGGCATAACATACACTCCCTTGTCTGTCAAATAACAGCACAACATTTGCTCATTCATGTTAATTGTATCAAAGGAGACATACACTCTAGTTTCACTTATCCAAATAGAACATCCCGAGTTTAGAGCTTTTATATGTCATATCTGCAGTGTGATGTAAATTTTATGGGAAGAGATGTAAAGGAAAGAAGAGAGATGGCAAAGCTGCCTTCGCTAAGCAGTTTTTTTTGCAGGTGATAAAAAGTCAGGCACCTGAACACTCCTATGTAAGAAAAGGAAGTCTGTTGCATCAAGAAAGTCTTATTAAATTCCTGGATGGCTTCTTTTTATTAACAATGAGGTAGCACACCTTCATATAAGCCAGAGGACATTTGCTAGTACAGGAATTAGAGTTAAAAAAGAAGTCACTCACGTGTAACAATCACAGCGCTGATCATAAGCAATTGCTTCAAGGTTTACATCCGTGTCCAATGGAGGCTGAGTACCATCCTAAGAAGTTGGCAGTGATAGCAGGGAAGAGAGAAAGACAAAAAGCCCCAAAATGACTAATTCAACCACAAATAATATTGTCCTCAAGCAATATACATCCTGAAACTACAAGAGCAGGCCTGGGCACTAGTGCATCTCAAAAACAGACAAACAGAATGGACTGCATTTAAAGAAACATTTGGTGTTGACTCAGTGGAAGAGAACACCGGAGAATCCTACTTCGATTTTGGGATGTTCAAGTTTAACGTTTTGGGTTTTTTGGGGTTTTTTGGGTTTTTTTTTTTTTTTTTTTTTTTTTTAAGAGCAATGCAAAACTAATATGTTTAGCACATTAGTACTGACATTCAGCACAATGGTATTGACATATTTTTTCAAATATATTTCAAGGGACTTCATTGCAAACAAATCTTTGTCATGAGCTCATGGTCTAATGCAGGGGTCTCAAACATATAGCCTGGACCTGGCCTATGTAGCCACTTCATCTGGCCTGCTTGTTACTGGTGGACTAGGGAACTTGGGGGCATGGCTAAGGGAACTAAGACCTGCTGTAGAAGATGATGCTCCAAAACCCCATTGGACATGGCTGTTGGTAGCAGGCAGGCAAGCAAGGGCTGTCCCAATAGCACTGCTGCCACCACTACTTGAACTGCCTTTGCCACTGACTTCACCACCACCACTTGCCCCACAGTTCAGGTTTGGCCCAGGGCATAGGACAAGATGGGTCCCAGGATCTAAGTGCATGAGCAGATATAACAAAATTAGTAGATGGTCAACTACTGATCAAAACTTCATCTCTGGCAGAAAGAGGGAGAAACTTCATCTCTGGATGAAATATGGCAAGTGAGATAAAACTGCATGGAAGTGAGGAAGGCAGGATGCAAAAGGTGACTAGAAAGAGACAAAGACTGATCAGGAATGAATCCTGTATGGAGTATAAGAAATAGATGGTGGGACAGAGGAAAAGCAGAGACAGGAACAAGGCCCAAGTCTGGAGCGCCTTTAGGAGAGAAAAGGCTTTAACCTAGAAAGAAAAAGCAAAATAACTTTAAATTTAGTACTTTTCTACTCACTGACAAGTTAAGTATTTGCAGGCCAGACAGACACAGCTTTATGTTATTATGATAAAGGTTTTCCCTATTGGTTTCATATGCAAAGCAGGATGTTTGCCACCTGTGCTGAAGCTGCACCAGGCATGCAGTTTTAGGTTTCATTAGTACTCTTACTTTACAGCTTGCATGGGTTCATTGAAATTGAGTCCTTACACAATAGCACCCTGCTTACCTCTACCTTTCTTACTCTTAGGGGTTCCTCTCTTAAGCTCCTCACTGATCTTTTTTCTTACAAAGTTGCCAGTCTGTAAACACCCACTTTTACTATGAATGACCCTGTCTTCTTCCTTAACACATACCACTTGTGCTATGCCTTTTACTCTCTAAGCCCCCACTGTACTCCACCCACAAAATGACTGTCGGGCCCCGTGTTCTGCCTGTGAAAATTGGGGGGCAGCTGCCCCGAATTTAGCATGTCCCTAATTATGTGACCTTACAATTTAGATGACAAGACTGCTACAAGGACAGTTCACCACGTGCCTTTAATCCATTGTTTTCTGTAAAGTCTGCCTCTGAAGGTTCATGTTTATGTAATGCAGGGGTGTCCAACCTTTTTGAATGTGGAGCTGGATCATGAACTTTTTATCACCCAGTAGGCCGGCGAGCCATATTCATATTTTATCACCCCGCAGTCCATACGTTGGACAAGCCTGAAATAAGGCAAAGCTGGCATAAACCCCCACCTGTGCTCACCTAGTGACAAACTACAGCAAATGATGTCCTGGACCAGCCATCCCAACAGCTGGGGCCCCCCTTCTGCCTACTACAATCACCATTTGAAGGCAACCCCAGAAGATATTTGACAGCCGTGTTAAAATATGTGACCAAACCGATGTAGCCGGTGCTCTCTCGCAGGCCAAGGGGCTGCCTATGCCACTGCTTCCCTAGGCCTTGCCCACACCAACAACACTGCTGCCTAAAGTCTTGGCAGCGCTGGGGCTCAGCCAACGTATGAGATGGGGGACGGCGGAACTGCAGAAGCGAAGCTGGTTCCCAGCCTGGCAGGGTCTCAGGCCTGGTCTGCCCAGGGCGGCTCCTGGCAGGGGAAGGCCTCAGGGGAACATGGGCCGCTTTGCTCCTCCACGCTTCCCTGTGGCGAAGGCAAACGGCCCCCAGGAGGGTGCAGGCAGCTGCCGTGGCAGGAGAGCAGCACCTAGCCCAGCCACAGGAAACAACAATCCCACTCCCCCCGAGCAGCGCAGTCCCACGAGCTGGTGCTGCCCAAAGTGGGCTGGAGCGAGGCAGCCACTGCACTGCAGCTCCTCGCCCGCTCACTCACACGGCCCCGCTCACCGTGGTGCCCAGCTGCCCGCACACACAGCCCCGGTGGCCTCAGTGCTGCGAGCCCAGAGTGGGGGACCCAGCAGACACTGGCTCCCGTTGCCTCACCCCGCGGAGGTCACGCCAGGACCCTGCCTGCCGAGGCCCCCCCGCCCCGGGGCTGCCCTGCTGACTGCCTGTGCTGGGCGCCATGCCCCATTTCTGCCCCATGGCTGAGCCCAGCAGGTTCCAGGAAGCAGGCAGGACACCGGGGCAAGGGGCTGAGCCAGAGACAAGTAAAAGTGGGCGCTGTCGCCAGTTTGTCTCATCAGGCACGGCTGGGGCAGCCCTGCGCTGCACAGCCCTTGGGGCAGTGGCAGGACCCAGCTCACGTAACATGGGAGGTCACGCAAGCCTGGCCCCGCGGGGGTGAGCAGCTCCCCTCCCCCACCCGCCTGTCCTGAGCGAGGGACCTTGGGCCTCAATGCGGCCCGCATGTTGGACATGCCTGATGTAACGTAACCAGCAACTGAAGGTTTAAAGAAGAAACACCCAGGAGTTCTACAGCACATAATACCACCTACTGCAAAGAGGTGACAGATGCTAGTCTGTCCAACTTCAGCTCATGTAACACAAGGTAGCACAATGCCCAACTTTTGCCTAAGAACTTCCAGGTTTTCTTTATTGGTATCAAAAAAGAAAAAAAATAACCCGTTTTTAAAAGACACTTTGCAGGCCATCTTCAAAAGAACCTTTTATAAGTGTAATTTCAGTCCATAATCAGTCCTCTCAAAGGACTGACAAACATTATGTTACAAAAACCTCCAAGTTTTTTCATTGTTAATTATTGGCTTTTGGAGATTATTAGAGATAACCTTTTAATCTTTACAATCTTTAAAATGGCAAATTTCTCCACCGGTAGTAACAAACTCACAAGCTCAACATTATTTCCATGAGGCTGTAATATGCCATGTGAAATTTGTTCAAGGCAAATCAGACATCCTGAGTCTTGCATAACTTGATGCATCTCTATATTACATTTGCCTATTAATAGGATCTTATCAAAATTCTATTATTAACAAAACATTTTAAATTTTATTTCTTATTAACCTTTATACAGTTTAAAGCAAAGTTCCCTTGGAGTGGTCTTTGAGAGTTTCTTGCACATTATTTGGTCTTGAAAATCTCATCCCTCCTGTGGACCTAAAATAGTTGTCTTCACAGCTTAAGAAAATGCCATGGGACACTTTTCCAGAGCCTATACTCAGGGCCTAACAGTAGGAAGCAATAGAATCCAGAGCTCATGCAGGGAAAAGAGTGCCATAGATGAGATTCACAGTGAAAAAAATTATAATTTTCTCCTTAATTACTTGATTCTGCAACCCACACACACACACACACTTGTCAATTTTAATGGGAATTTGTACAGAAATACTGCTGGACAACATGTATTTGGGATTTGTGCATCAAGATTCAAAATTCTACATTCAAACACTTTGTCAGGGCAAAGGTAGCAGGCCCAGTAGATATAAGGAAGTCTTCTCTGCATGTTTCCCATTGAGCTATGACTCATCTTATTATACTTGTCCAAATTTTGACCATCAGTGGCAGCATTTTCTGTTATAATTCTTTTGTAGAGAAGTTCCTATTGTCACTCATAACAGCTGATTTCTGTCAGCCTTTACAACTCTGTAAACAATTGTTTGGCTGAATTTTATTGATTTAAAACAAACATTAGTTATTTTATCATGCTTCATTGTATAAGGGCCTGCAATTCTTCTCTGGCTTTAGTTTGTATTGCACCATCCCACTCAACTTCAAGATAAGCATTTCTTTCCAATTACTCACTTTAGTGATAGTCTTCAAGATGGCAAATCGATCTGCAGGAGGTGGCAAACCCACGTAGAGTGTTTTATCCAGTCTGCCAGGTCGCAAGATTGCTGGATCAATTATATCTGACAGGAGAAAGAGAAAACAGTTTATGTATTAGATGCAATATTAGCCAACATTTGAAGCTCTGAGAGCTAAGGACAGTTACTAAGTAGTTTGTGTTTCTGTCAGATAAATCTCCTCACTGCCTAGTTCACTCACAAGCCTGGTATGACACAAGACTTGCCCTGAACTGCCAGCTGATAGATGCAGACAAATCTTTCTTAACGGCAAGTATTCAATGAACATTCATCTATCACACTTAACATGGCTGAGCAAAAAATTCCACGTGAATTCACAGCATGAAGAATATTTTCAGTTTGCTCTACTGGGGAAGGGGAGGCAGCAGGCAGGAGAGTTCTCTCCAAATCAAGTATTGTGACAATGTCTAAAAGTCTATATAAAAGATGCATCTGAGCAAAGTGTAGCTATCTACATAGAAAAGGGTTTTTTTTTTTATAAGAAGTTCAATTTTTATTGAATAAACTGTAGTAGTTTAGCCTTCCTTCTTGATAATTCTCTCAGTTAAAACATGAACACACAAACAAACATTTTCACTGGGTGTTAATTAGCTGTAGAGCAGAAGTGTACACATGGGCAGTTACTGCAGACAAGTGGTCATATTCTAAGTCTCCACTCCATTTTGTTTCACAGTAGCATGTCCATGTGTCCTTGTCCCATAAGAGAGAAAATTGCGTATCCATACATTTGAAAAATGCTTGGTCCTCTGCAAATAGATACCATTCACTTCTTACTTGAAGACTGAGTAACAAAAATTAAAATAAAAAAATTGCTGTATTCTTCTTTTAGAAGTGCCAACAACAAACCAGGTCCTCCCCCAAGATATAGTAGTTGTGCATCCAGCAGACAAACTATTCAAGATTTCCCAAACAAGCTAACAGTTTTTAAATTGAGGGGGCAAAGAAAATTTCTACCAGCTATTGTTATTGGTCAAAAGTTCAGGAAAATTATCTCCACTACTCAATAAACAGTTCTCTCACTTTTCTTAAGACACAAACATATTTCAGTTAATGTCTTTGGCCACATACAGACATTCCATTTGTGCCAAGAGAAAAAGCAAAGCCTATCTCTGAGCACAAACAGGCATATCAAGGGATTTCTTGCAGATTACTGGCTCTTCCACAATAAGTTAGATTGGGTAACTCAAAAGAAAATTTCCCTCTTCCCGATCCAAACTGAAGGTCTATATACACTTCTCTCAGGTAAGGAGGACACCTAATATCCCAAAGTCCTTTGCTCTTGCTCCCTCCTAGAGGGGGAGGGAAGGAAAGCACTGGCTCATTGATAGCTTGCCCAGAGGCAAGCTGTCAGGGAGCCCTATGGGGGGGCCTTTCCATAAAAAATTATCCCCCTCCCACCTCAGTCAGCTGATTGGTGGCAGAAGGGGATTCACCTGCAATGGAAAACCTCCAAGAAGTTGTTCCCCCAGCAAGAGAATGCCCCTGCCAGTCTTCTGCGCGTGCATAGCGCATTCTCTGGGCTGCTTGTGGCAGTTGCTGCCAATTAAGCTAAAGAACAGTATTGGCATAAGAACAAAGTGGATACAAACTTGTATTTAGTCTGGAAATTTAAAAATATTCTTATAGAGTTGTGAGGTTCTAGAGCTAAAACCGGTCTTGTTGTCAAACTTGTATTGAGTTTGGAATACTTTTTTTAATTTCCTATAAAGCTGTGAGGTTCTAGAGCTAAAACCAGTCTTGTTTGGCTTGCAGGTTTGCATATTGTGCTCTGGGCACAAAGGTTGCGAGATCGAGGCTGGGTATGGGCAGAGACTCATCTGGGAGGTGGCTGTGAGGAAATTTTAACAGTGGAACAGGTTACCCACCTGAGCGGTGGTGTAAGCTCCATGCTTGGAGTTTTTGAAAACCTGGCTAGACAAAGCTTTGGCTGGGATGATCTAGTTGGGGAAGGTCCTGCTTTGAGCAGGGGGTTGGACTAGATGACCTCCTAGGTCCCTTCCAACCCTAACTTTTATGATTCTAACAGTCTTCCAGTCAGAGGCCTGGGGGTAAAAAGCTTAACTACTTTTAAGATCATAAACGTATCAAGTTCTAAGGAGATTGTATGATATAGTGCCTGTGATAGCAGAGTACTCAAGGAAGCATGTTTTCCTGTTGGAGTTAGTTTTTTCTTTGACCAAAATGGTGGAGGGATAGATTTCAAATTGATGTATTAAACTTCCCTCTCGATCAGGGAAATTAAGAGTTAACTTATAGGATTAGTGTCACGGTTTGGTATGTTGTTCTTGTTGTAGACATAGTGCTATATGTGGTCATTTATCTTTTCTGGCACAAACACACTTCACAGTTACAACATACGTACTTACATAATAATTTTCCCTGTAACTAATACACATTCATCAAATGACAGTAAGTCCTTCCAATAAAAATCAGATCTGGTTTCAGTGTACCAGATACCATAAAAATGTACATAACAAATGAGACTAGTCACTGCATCCTCCTTCTTAACAAAAGATACAATTATCGTATCACATAGATATAAAATTGTAAAAGTACTTTGCAATTAGATGAAACACAACATTTTTCTTACACAGAAAAAGTTCTTTCAATTGAATATGCAGGAGACAGAGGCACAAGGTGAGTGACTTTTTCATAGATAGCCACTAAGTTAGTGACAAACTCTAGGGGCATGTCCACACCTGCAGGCACGTGCGCTTGCAGCAGCTCAAATAGAAACGGTGCAAATTTGAGCTGGGGCTTTTTGCCTCAGCGCACACGCCCAGACATGCACTTTGGTGTGGGGCAAATTGTGCCACTTGGGGCAAAATAACCCTGCCTGGCTTCTCTCGGATCTGCAGCCGGGGGAGCTAGAGGCTGGGGTCAGCACCTGTGCTGGCCCCAGCAGTATAAAAACCTGCCCTGGCAAGAAGCTCAGGGCTACTCACAGGAGCTTCTGAGGCCTGGCCAATTGGTACCTGGGGACACTACCCCTTGTGACAGCTGGACTGCTGAAGCAGCCCCAAGAGTTCCCTGCACCCTCTACACACTGCAGCACTCTGGCAGGAGGGACTGCTGCCTGGCTGTGACCTGCTGTCACCTGCAACAGCATGTGGCCCCAAGGCTGCATGCCTGCCAGACCCAGATGGGGACTGTATGGCCATTAGAGGCATCTGCACCTCTGGGCCAACTGCCAGTAGGCTGTAGCTTCCCAGTTGGCCTTTGTGCCACCACCCAGCCATCTGGGCAGCTATTGCCCAGAAGATGTTCTCAGTGTGGTGGCCTGCTTTGAACTGTCAAAGCATGTCCTCCTGGCCCCAAGTGGCCAGGAGGTCAGCCACCTCCATCTGGGTCCCAGATATAGGCTCTGAGCAGGCTCCTTGCCTGGGTCCTGCCACTTGCCTTACTAGCAAGAGTTCTAGTGTTCCCTATTTAAAAACTGCAAAAATCCCTGATAAAAAAAATCCTGAAGTCACTCTTTAAAATACACCCAATTCAATGTTATATAAATATATATAAAATCAAGAGAGAGAAAGAAAATCAGTTGGGCAATGTTTTATTGATATATTTACAATTTTAAAGCAATTTGTAAGCCTACCAGTGCCTCTATCATCATAATAAAATAAATTCTAAATATCTATACAGTTTGGCATTGACTTTTGGCTTTTCTGTCATAGAAAAATCAGAGCTGTCTTTACCCCCTTCACTCACCAGAATGTGCAACACTGAGTAGCACTGATCTGCCAGTGCCCTGACCCTACCCTTGCCCCTCACTCTCAACCCACAGCCTGCCCCCCACCCCAGTCCCCTCACTCCTCACTCACAGGGCTAGGTACATGGGTGAGGGGTTTGTGGGGGTGGCTCCCCTGCCCCCTCCCCCCGCAGGGCACAGCCCCCCTGTACAGCTCAAGGGCTG